GTTCAGCAGATGAACTGGCTGCCAGTAGCCAAATGTGTGCAAGACTCACCATTTTTGTGTAAAATCCCAAGTACTGTAGTATTCAACTTAACATGTTTTGCCTTAGGCTATGTGATGTTCTAAGTGATTAATTGATGTAATTTTGAAAGGGGGATGGGGAGTGTCAAAGGGTATTTTGCAGAAAAGTCCAGGATAAAAAATCTCTTTCATTGAGTCTAAATTTCATTCCTGTCTAAATTTCTGGCATACCTTAAAATCGATTACGTTTTACTTCATTCTAATTTTGAGGTTGTTTCTCATGTCTCCTTTTTTTTTGCTTTCCTTTTGGGTGTCTATAAAGCAAGAAGCCTTGCACTGACATAGCCTTGTTCATGTTATCATCAAAGTCATCTGCAGGTTTTGACCTGGGTTCATACTATTCATGTAATCTGTATAAATTATCTGTATGATAATTATGTAACTTATGTATTTCTGTAACTATGAGTAAGGATAATATGGAACTGCATTAGCACCACAAAAAAATATAAAACCATAGCAAAATGTAGGTTCTTTTCCCAAAGTGGTCTTACCTAATGCTAGGTTTTTGGATAGAAGGACAGTACTGAATGTGAATGAAAGGAGGACTGTCCTCCCCTGCAGAATCAGTTTTTTCCTTGGATAGGACACTAGTAGTCCCCTCTCAAGCAGAGGCAATATAAGCATTGTATTACTCAGTCTTGCTTTTTTTAATTTGGGCCTAGATAGCCTTTTTATTGGGGCTACTAACTGAAGAGACCAAGATATTGCCTCTCACATATTGTTCTCCCCTGACTTCCTTCTAGAAGAAACACACACATGTAAGAAATCTGATAGAGTTGGTAGACAGTGATTCGGGGGCTAAACCCAGAAAACAAGGCATTAAAGTGAAGCAAGTAGAAGATGCTGGGAAAAAGGCCACATTCCATGCTCCAGGCCCACTAAATGATTGATATAGACTGGATCCTTTCCAAAAACACCTGACAAAACTGAGACAAGACAGAGATATGAATCCTACTTCCTAAGATACATGGCAGCTTTTGAGCAAGAGCTGTCAGGAGTATCATCTCAGATATTATGACCTTCAGAAAATATTTACTTTCCACTGCTTTGAGTGAAGTTCTTCATATATTGCCAGTTTGCATCTCATTCTACACTTATCATAAGTACTCTGACTTCTCTCAGCATAAAATAGAAAAAGTAGGTACAGGTTGAAGGGGTGGGTAGTTATGGAGAACAGGATTTAGCATCATAATGGGAACAGACCATCAGCAACTGTTCTCAGAAAAGAATGGGAAGACAAAAAAAAATATGAAAAAGAAGAAAATGTGCACATCCCCTACTTTTTAAAAATACATAAAATCCATACTATCAACTGCTAAAAAATTATTGACCATACACCAGCACCAGGATTTTATTTCAGAAAGTTTGTTGAATGAGTTAGGTGTGTGAAATTAATGTAAGCTATTTGGAGTAGGAGCTATCTTCTATGTATTTGGTACAATATTTAGCACAAGATGTTTGCAAAAATCTAGTCAGATAAATAGAGTTATTGGGTAGTGTCACCTAAAATGCAAATAACAATAACAACAACAACAGTAACAAATCTCTCCATACTGAACAGGAATTTAAGTCTGAATCATAAGAATTTTAGCTTCATTTTTTGAAAAGCTATTGCATGTATACCCAGCCAGACAAATGATATATGTTGGATCTCATAGCTATTTCTATTTCTACAGCTCTAGAGAAGTGCTTGGCATGCTGGAAGACTGAGGGGTAAAACCAACAGGAACAATAGTTCACCCGTGGCAGCATGAGCCAAGAACCTGCCAGCAGTTCCACAGCCTTCTTGTGCGATGCTGAGCCAGACACTACAACATAGACACCTATCTTAATGTCCAGACATGACTACATCTGTGCCTCTCCACAAACCACCACCAGGAGTTTACCAGTCTGGAATAAATATCTACTTTTTTTTTTTTTTTTTTGTCCTATGAATTATAGAATCCATGCCCAAATAAACATAACACCGGAATATATGGTAATGCCTTATGCAGGATATATGTATGTGTGTCTGTGCATGTATATGCACACATATATACCTATATAAATGTATATATCCATGCATATGTGTGTATGTGTGTACACCCACCAAAGACTATAAAACATAGGAGATCATATTATACAACATGTGGTAAAGAAGAAAGAGTAGAAATCCAAAATCACTGCTGCTACAGGATTTGCATACTAAAAAACCAAATATATAAATATCAGAACAGATACTTTATGTGAACTTATGAATCTTATGGATTCCTGCTGCTGTCAGATTAACCTTCAGAACAAGGACCTTATGGAAACATTTTCTGTGTCCCTAAAGTGTAATTAATTTATTACATCAAGAGACACCCACCTCGTTGCAGGGAGGAAAAAAAACCACATGCAGACCTTTTAGTCCAGATTAAGTTTATTCTTCCTCTCCTTTTTTTTTCTCTTCTTCAGTTTACAAGAGTAAGATATTTTAAAACAGGAGAAAAATAAAAAAGCACATTATGCATCACTGTCTGCATTGTTGCAAATACTGTTTGATACACTAAGTCCTTGAACCCCCAGGAAACATAGTGGACTATAGAAACAGTGACAATAGCAACTATAGATTAATAAAGATCCTGGTTGCCTATATTTTTTCCAAAACAAATAGATACACTAAGAATTCTCCCAAAAACCAATCAGAGCTTCCAGGACATCTCTTCCTCATCTTACTTCCTGGTCCTCACATTAACATTGATTTCTATTGACGTAATTCCTAGAGTGTCTCAGCTGAGCTCACTCGTTATTACTGTATTTCCTATAATGAAAAATTGTCTTCATTTTGAAGACTTCTCAAGAAGTAGGAAAATAGGGTTGGTTTTATAGGCCAAGTAAGTGGGAAACCTGAGTATTAAACTGACTTGTGCCAGCTTCTGCCCCCATGGCCTAAACCAGTTATATGCTGGCATTCATTTGGCTCACCAGTCTATCTGGATGGTAAGAAACCCACCTAAATTAGATGATAGAAGGAAGGATGACAAACGTTTGAACTTGCTTTCCTGATTCCAATAAATGCTGGATGCTCTCCTAAGGCAAATGCAGTTGTGTAAGTTGACACAGTGCATGCACGGCTCATACTTGCTCATATTGCCTAAGTAACGGGCAGTCAGGCAGACCAATGGGATAATTTCATGGCCACAGAACTGACCGAAACTCTGGGTCTGGAAAGATGCAGTCACGTTTGGACTCTTGTCCCAGGGAACAGGACCTGGGGCTGACATCCCAAAACTGTGTTGTGGCTAAAGACCAGTGAGTTCTTTGGAAATTGAGAATTTGCCCAAAAAGGCAGTTGCATGGGCATAAGCAGAGAGATAATTCCAGATGAGAGATGAAACTATAGAGAGCAGAGTTTGAAGTACCCCACACACCCATTGTAACAGCATTCATTTCTAAATAACATGTTATGTCATTTACACATATTTAAATGACTTTTTTCACATAGTTCTCACTGTGACGTTATGATAAATCTCTGTGCTGCTTCTGTCTTGGCAGATGCTCCACAGATTTGCCTCTTGTCTCTCTCTGTCAGCAGCAGCTGGCTGCAGTGTTTCCACCTCTGCAGACGTTTCCCAGCTGTTCATAGAGATGGGTGGAGAGAGGGTGACACACAGCCACTGGGAAACGAGGCAAGAGAAGGAAATGCGGGCTGGAGATGTTATGAAGGTCTTAAGAGTCATTTCCAACCCTGGAAGAAAGGGTTAGACTCAAGTCTGCCAGCTGGTGGAGAGCAAAAACGAGGGACAGACCTGTCGCTGTGGTGAGAAGGCTAGAGGACTGGGGAGGATACCTGAGGACGTTGTGTCCTCCACCAAACTACAGAAGCACCTAGACAGGTCTCATCATGAAGGCAGTCTGGCCCCACCAGTGTCAGTGCCTAGAGAGTGTGCCCAGCACCCCTGTGTCAGGTGGCAGTGGCAGGACAGAGGTCAGTTTTCTGCACATTTGCCTCGGCAATTAACGTCAGAAGATGTGGTGGGTCATCAAGGCAATGAGAACATCAAGGGCAGTCTCTGTGCCTCTGCACAGTGTTTTCTCTCTTTCTGTGAAACAACTGCTCATAATCCCTACAAAAAAATCCTGACTGCAGACTGGAAGCAGCTTTAAACCGAAACACCTGCACACCGCACACGCAGCCTTGCCATTATGTGCAGGAGCACTGACTCCTTCGTGATGCCTACCAGATATTTGACTGCAGGTAAAGCTGGATGGACAGATCAGCTACCTGAAGCCAATCACAGGGCTCTGTTAGGCTATTGTCTGCCCATCACTGGGTGGTCTTTCTCTGTCTCCTTCCCTCCAGCCTTTTAACCCCACATATAGTCATGGAGCTGAGGCCCAGTGAAAATCCAATGCCGACAAATGCTTTTACACTTTCTAAGTCTGGGATGATCACATTTCTCCAAAGTACACTGAATGTTTTACAGACCAACTCTATCTCACACATAGCTGTCACTGCTCCAGAAAGAGACAGGCAGAAGTTAGCTGTTGATGATCAATCAGAAGCCAGGGTTGGTAAAACTCCTCTTTTACCGGCTTAGCTGTTTAAGAGATTTCTACAAAGCAAAACCAAGGCAATTTCTTTCTGAGCAGGTTTTCTTTACACTTTCACAAGGTCCACAGGCCTTTGCTGCCGCTGGCTGGCATTAATCTTATATGGCACAGTATTAGGAGCTATGCCAGTGTCCTTTTTTTTTTTTTTCCTTTTTATAGCAAGCTCAAAAAATAAGAATGTTATGAATTCAGACCATTGTGAAAATAGACCATAAAGGTATATAGGTGAGGTATCCCCTCATTGGAGTAAGTATGGATATCAGAATAAGCAGCATGAGAAAGCTACTTTAAGAGCTTCTGCATTAAGCAAGGTGTCTTCCCAAGTGCCAGGATCAGAAGTGCTGTACTTCCCTTTCCATCCCTGTTTGTAGCTGCCTCACAGCCTCCAGAAGCTACATCAGTCTGAGTCCTCCACTCTCCTGGGAACCAGAGCTGTGCCAAGAAAAATAGGGGGGAACCAGCTCCTCTGCCCCTCATTCCAAGCAGTTACCCCTATGTCTGTGAAAAAGAGTACAAGTCCTGCCTAAACTGTAAGCCCTTTCCAGGACTCCCACAAGACAGGATGACTTTGCATTGCCTCCTCTTCAGGCTGGTGGCTAAATTATCACACTTTGGCCTTATGCCTGTTTTTTGAGCTTTAGTTTTCCTCAGCTGTGGTGGGATTTCTGGGGTAGCAGTGGGATGCTGACCTGGAAAGAATGAAAATAGTGGAATATGCTTGCCAAGCATATTCCAAAGACGAACTTTGGAAACCCATGTTTTGTTTTTATGTCTATACATTAAATTAATCTCTCCACTAAGCCAGGTTTGCTCAAGAATGTGATTTTTGAGAAGAAGTGGCAATTAAAATTCCTTATGTACTTTCCACCCTTAGAGCTGAGGCCAATGCATCTTAAAAAATAAAAGCAAACCACAAACACATGTGCACACTGTGAGCATCTGATCACCTGTCTTCAATCAATTGATATTTATTTCTCTGAACCCAGTTTTTCAAAAGTGTTGACTGCCACAAGTGATGCCTCTGATCTCTTTATAGGGATGTCTACCAGACAGACAGAGAGACAGACAGAGGGAGGGATGGCGGAAACTTATGCCTCCAATGCTGCTCTTTTTCCTATGGAACCTTCCTAAAAGCCTCGACCAGTTATTTGAAGGAGAGTCATTACTGGAAGGGAAGAAAAAAGAAACAGGCTTTTGTTTCTTTTAAAGGAATGGTTAGAAAAACAAGTATGAACCTTTTCTTCAGCCCTTGTGTGCTATCTATTCCTTTTATTAGCTTTTCACAGTCCTGGGCTGTCCATATTCAAAATAACACTTTGAATAGGGCCCCCACCAGTCCTTGACTTCAGTCAAAAACATAAATCAGACTTATCCTCCCAGGGACTTGGTTTTGTTGTTTTGTTTTCCTGGGAGCAAAAGATTTCCACATGATCTGAGGTTTAAAATGTGATTTCTTTTTTTTTTTGGCAGCTGTCTTCTGGATCTTAGTGAGACTCAGTCACCTAACCCTCTTAGGCTCCCTTGGAAATCAGAGCCAGATAAAGCATGGTATTTTAGCTGAGGAATGAAGTTAGCATTCACATGGCTGTCTGATCACAGGTTTTGTTATTAAAGGACAAACTTAAAAAGGATGGGACTGAACAGCAAAATAATTAACTGTGGACCTTTCTCACTCTGTTAAACAAAATTATCGTTCCACGTAACAGAGGCAAGAAAGTGAAGTCAGAGCAGAAATGAGAAGCTAGAAGCCAGCTGCTGGAATATGAAGCATTTCCTTCCACATTTAAAATGAAAGACCTGCATATCCTTCTGGAGCTCAGTAAGAAATGGAAGTAGACCCAAAATGGTGGGAAATAAAGAAATAAAGAAAGGTACAACTTTCTTCCTGGTGTGTTGTTTTGGGTTTTTTTTTTTTTTTTTTTTTTGTTTACTTGCACATTTTAGAAGACACTTTTGTTTTGAAAAAGATGCTTTAGCTCTTGTGGAATGGTTTGTTCAGCACAGTTTGAAGAGGGCAGCCACAAGGTGAAAAAGTAAGAAAGATGGGGAAAATGCAGTCATATCTAAAAATAATTCTAAATATATAATAAATCTGCAGTCTCAGGCTTCAGTTTTATTTAGAGAATTGCAAATATGAGTTTAAGGAAATTTGTATGTACAAAGTAGTATAAATATGCTCATAAAACAAACATAATCTATTGGGAATCCTATTAAAAGCTGTATATGTATATATATATATATGTATGTGTAGATGGGGACGATATTCAGACACAGTATCAGGACTTCCTTTCCCTCGTCAATAGACTCCTCTCTGGGAGGGAAGGTAGCAGCTGTTTAACAATGTGATATTACTACCATGAGCACCTTGCACATAACAGGCACTTAGCATATATAGCATATATCCATATAGTACAATAAAGTGGAATTAGAGATTTAGATACAATTACATCTGAAACTAGGTTTCCCAGAATGGGAAATTTACTTTGGAATGTGAATTAGGACAAATAGCACCCTATTTTTCTCCTTTTTAGCATGAACTCCATGCAGAAGTATTGGTTCAGTAGGGATCCAGAAGCACCATCTTCTCTTGAAACACTAACAGCCATTTCTTCAGCACTGTCACTAACCCAACACATTTCTGCGGAGATAGTATGGTGTAATTAACTGGTTTGTTGATTTTAGTTTGGGTTGGGGTTTTTTTTTGTGTGTGTGTTTTGTTGTGAGTTTCAGGGTTTTTTTGATGTTGTTTTTTTGTTGTTTTGGTTTGGTTTGGGTTATGGGTTTTTTTTTTCCCTAATATGGCCTAGCAGAGTAAAACAAGTTAAAGAGATTTGGCTTAGTTGAGACCTAAGATTATCAGGCTTTAGCTGCATGCAAGCAAATTTAGTAGTGAATAGCAACTTGTTTCAATCTGGGTCAAGGCTGGGTAAATCACATTTTGGGGAAGAGGCAATCCCCACTCTACAGCCTCTGAAAAGTGCTGCCAAAATCATATGATGGCTGCCAGCCAGAGAAAGAAGACATTTTTTTCACCCTGTTTAGCAATGAAACAAAAAAAAGCATGCTTTTGGGGAAATTTGCTACTGTTGATATGATTTCTATAAATCTGTCAGACATTCCAGAAAAATCATAGATCTTCACATTCACCTCTGAACCAAAAGGTGAGAACACATTCACAGAGATGAATATGTTCTGGCTTGGAAGAATATTTAGGAAATAATTGTCATATCATTGTCCCATTAATATCAGCTTAAAACAAATACACAGTCATTTTTGAGCTGTGTTTAGGAGCACCTAGTCTAAATCTCAGGTCTCAAAATTGGTCTGGACTTCAAGAGTGATTATTAGCTACTCAGTAAAAATCAGGCCCTTTTCCACTTTCACCTCCCTTGCATTAGATGTCCAAGACCTCATGTCTCTTCTGAAAACCTTAAGTTTTCAAAACCTATACCTACAGAAAGAGACCCCAGAAACTCAGCCGTTGGTGCCTCAGGCATGAAAGGCAAAAGGGTGATCAGAGTTCAGACCCATTACCTTCCAAAGCCAGACTTCTGAGTCACATCTGAGGTAGCATATTTACACAGTTCCTCCGACAAGAAATCTGGATGTCAGATGGGGAATATTTTGATTCTTATGGGAAAAAAAAATTGGTAAACATATCTCACATTGAGTATGGTCTGCCCTCAAAGATAGATTCAGTTTGCAGCTTCTGTTAGTTTTTCTTCTTATTTAGTAAGAAAACATATATCAATGCAATCTTTTTCATTTTCTTATGGCCAAAGCCACACTTACGGGCTTCCAAAATGACACCACTGAGGAGCAGAGCCTAACCTCAATGTCTAGTGAAAAAACACAGGAAAGGCAGCACCTCTTTTGAGGAAGAGAGGTAGAAGTGAGCAATAGTTCCAAACAAGTGGACAAACAAAAATATACAAAGCAGCCACTACAAAGTCAGAGCACTTCTTATTTCTTCAGGATATTTAAGGTGAATAAAAGCCAAGTCAGAGGCTCATGCAACTACAGGGAAACAGTCCACATGTTTAGGCCATTTTCCTGTGGCATTTCATGATGAAAAACTGCAAAGGGCAACAGTTCTTGCTCTAAGCTCCTCCGTGTTTATATATTGTTCCACATAAAATAGATTCTCACAGCAAAGATCCAGCTGCTTTGTGTTTTGTTGTTGCAGTTTTGAGACGTTAAGTCTCCATTTGAGATGGAAGAAGAAGGATTTCTCTGAGGACAGGTGATAGTGATGAAGCATATGATCTGGGGTTTATAGTGTATATCCATGATGGAACTGACCTGGCCGTCGAGCATTTGCCAGTGTTGGTATGAGAGAGCCTCCTAGCATGCTGTCAAAGGCTGCCAGGACAGAATACTCATTATAGTTTATTTGTAATCCTAAAGGTGAATAACTGTTTTACTGAACTCCTCGGTGTCCTGGGTTCAGTAGTGGCAGCCATTTTTTCTCCTTCTTAGTACCTGGTGCAGTGCTGTGTTTTTTTGACTTTCGGCCTGGGAATGGTGCTGCTAGCACTGATGTTTTTAGTTATTGCTCAGATGTTTAGACTGGCCAAGGACTTTCTGAGCCTTGTGCTCTGCCAGGGAGGAGAGGAACCCAAGAGGAAGCAGAGACAGGACACCTGGCCCAAACTGGCCAAAGGGGTATTCCATACCATAGCACATCACTCCCAGGATGTAACTGAGAGTTACCCAGAAGGGCTGGGGCACTGCGGGGTTGGACTAGGTATCGGTCGCTGCTCGGTCAGGCTCATTTCAACGGGTGGTATTGTATTCTCTTCCCTTGTTATTTCCCTTACCATTATTATCATTGGTGGCAGCAGCAGTGGTTTGTGTAATACCTCAGTTACTGCACTGCTCTTATCTCAACCCATGGGAGTTACGTTCTCTCAATTCTCCTCCACATCCCTCCGGGAGTGGAGGGGGGGGGGGAGGGGGGGAAGGGAAGAAAGAAGGGGGAGAGCAAGAAGGGGGAGGGGTGTGAGAGAGAGACTGTGGCTGGCTTGCTGACAGGGCTTAAACCACGGCACTGGGGAATGTACAAAGAATACCCATATGCAGAATGATAGGTAGCAGAGAAATCATATCCCTCTATCAAAGCTGTATTTATCTTGCGATCTTCTTTTCTGACAGAAAGGTCACTTTAATTAGCAGGTGGGGGCAGGGTGGTATTGTTGGTAGGCACAGCCCCATATGATGGTTCCTCTATACGTCAGTGCAAGAGCATTAACGTTACTCAGATAATCTTGCTGGCAAGCAAAGAAACAACTATCATGTTACTTGAAAGAACTGAAGCTGTATTGTACAGCAGTCATTAGCCTCCTTGAATCTGCTCATAATGGTGAATGCATCTTTCTGCCTGCCTGCAACTTGTGTAACAAACAGCACAGCCAAGTCTTTCCCAGTTCTGTTATTCTGTTTTAAAAAACACTGACATTTTCTTAAACAGACA